TGGAATAATTTGGAAAATCCGTTGAAATGGATCCTCAGGTTCGTTAATTTTACGAAAGATCGAATCGAAGAATCTAGTTATACAATTTAACTTTATGTTATTTAATTTTATTGCAGACCACTCAGCAACATGGCACGGAGCGCAAGCGCGGTAGGCCTCTGGGAAAGAACAGGCCGGCCATACCAGCTGTGAGTTATTGCTACTCCTTTAGACTCGTATTAGTTACTATCTGTTATTTGTCGACCGAGTAATGTAAATTATCTTTAATTTTTCAGGACGAACAGAAGGCTCGAAACGCCACGTACGAGAAGGAGCGACGTCAAGTGCACAAAGACAAGACTCGTGCGCTGGCGCAAGTGCTCGATCTTGATCCTAAAGTGAGTGATGCATTAGCTGACCTAAAACACGTCACTGAGATAAATGACAAGCCGAACATGTGTGCTAATTAATTATTTGCTTTCAGACCAAACAGTTGGAAGTGTTGGTGACTGCTCTCACCTTCCTTCGCAGTCGGATGGCAGAGCCGCCTCGCCCTGAGCCGAGTGAGATGAGTTCACTAAACCGACGACTTGAGGCACAGAGTGAGTGTCTACATCAATTAAACATAGGGTGCAAACTTTCTATTGCGATAAAGGTAAGGTGATCACAGTTTAAGATATTAACATTTTGTTTCAGTTGCGGAAGCAGAGTCGAGGCTTGCGGCACTGGGAGTCCCGCTGCCAGAACTAGAAGAAGATGACGCAACGTCACAGAACGTAAGACTTTCTGCCACGTTTCACTTTCGCACCGGATCATCATAATTATATATCTAAATTATGTTTCTATGTTTTTTACAGATTGAACAAAGAAAACGTGCCGCATCACCGCTAGATACCGCGACATACCAACCTGCCAAGAGGGTCAAACCAAGTGTGAGTTCTAATAGGATGTTCGGCTGCGATTTTCTCTGTCAGCGATGAATTCAAACGTCTATTAACACTCTCATATTTTGTTACAGACACAAATGGAAGACGGTAATGCGCCTTTCCCGGTGGCTCGCCAGCTACGACAGTCTCTCCCGGTGAGTGAGCATCAGTCACTAGGAGAGAACTATAGTTTGGCAGCCCTGGACGCGATCGACCACGGTCAACTGTTTTTCGCGGCCACTGAATTGGATGATATTGTAAGTAAATATTCATCTCCAGTTTGTTACATTCAACGGTAACTTAAAGAAGTTTCCTTTCATTAATTTTTGTTTTTGTTGCAGGGTCCAATCTTCAACTGGTCGATCGATGAAAGCGCTTACCTTTGAACTGGTTTGACGCTAGACGTGGCTGATTGCGCATGGCAAATGAATATAAAGATAACCCTACTGACGGTTGGTATAGCAACATTAGCTCGGTTTTGTATTTCATCTCCAGGTTCCGACATCATTATCTTTAACATAAAATTAATTTATTATTTTTTGTTTCAGGTATGTGGGCTCGAGTTATTGATAGACGCAGTAGTTTAAAATGTAGCCAGTATTTAGATTTTAAATTTTAGTTAAGTGTTTTATCGTGTTTATAAATTATTTTAGTTTTACATTTTATGTTATTATATTTTTTACCTTACTTAATATGAAAATAAAAATGCATTATGATTATAAGAATCCATATCTTTTCTTTTCATCCCCTGCGGTTGTTTATCCTAAATTTGATTAACATAGCGTCATGCGAATATCTATGGCAGATTGTTTTGTAATGTACATATTTAAAATGAATGACCTTGGTTGAAATAACTGGAAAGTCGCAGTATATGTTGATATCTGGTAAAAGGTTTTATTGACCCAAAAATTATAGATAAAAGGACAAAGAAAACTGTTTTTTATTCATTAGTCATTGTACAAATTGTACTCTGAAACTTCCTTTGAAGACCCCCACAAATCGAATTACGGCACGGAATCTCTACAATTTAACTAAAGAAGATAGATCCCAAGAGCAATAATTTAAAAACCAATATGACATGACATTTCAGGAATTGGAAACATTGGAATTTTACTAAAAACCAAAGCAACAATATAGTTGACCAACTTCATACATCATCATAAACATGACATCAACGCATCACGTAATTTACTACAAACAACCCTTGACGTGTTAACGATCATTTATAATATACTATACTCTAATCACATTGTTTACGTAAAGTCACGCAAACTACGTACAGATAAGAAAAATGAATATTGCAACGGGATCCCGTACGGCTTTCCCATCCCCACTCCAGCAAGGTATCCCCA